GAAGAATTGAAGATAATGGGCTAAGTTATAGGTTTAATTGGATTTCTCCCACCTCTTCATTCTGGCTGCCAATTTTGTTCCTTTTTTATTCTCATCCTGTCCTTGCTCGTGTTCAGAGTTGCTTAATCACTGATGGACAGTCATACTTCTCCCAAAATAATGCTATTTGTACTGTGCAAGTTAGATAGGAGGAAAAGTAACTGTTACTCTGTGCTTGCCTGGAAATATATTCAAACTCAGGTCTGTTCTCTCTTGAACCTTAGCACGAATATGTGCATTACCACAGGCACACTGAAGTTTCCCAAATTCTCATCTCCTGCGTTGTGTGGCCACAAAGAATGTGGGTGTAAGGGAGAAAGGGAGGGAGGGTTTGCCTCATGGAGAAGGAGGATGCTTGGGCCATTCACTTCAAGGGTTCTAAGTAATTGGTTTCAGATTTGTTTTGTTCTGGGGAGATTTTAATTAAGCTTTTTTATATGCTGTTTAATAAACATTTGTCCATGAGCTGCATCTTGTGATCCCCATCAGTAAAGCAGGAGGATTAATTTGCATGTTGTTGTTTGTTATTTATTTAAATAGCCACAGAAATTATGCTGTGTTCGGCTAAGGCAGCAGTAATGACTGTAGTAGGGTCTAAAAGTGCATGTAGCGTTGGGTTTTTTGTTGCATTTTAGGTTTTCTGTTTGTTTTTTAAACAGTTTGGATTGAGAGAATGTGGAGGAAAATTCTGACATAAGCAAATGATACGCAAGGTCAGAAGAAGAGCCCAGTGCCGTTTTTAACACCAGTGTCTGGAAGCAGCTTGCTAGGGAAAACATTTTAAGAAATCGGAGCAGTCTCCCAGCTTCTGGCAATTGAAGTGTTACTGCCTCTTCACGCTGCTTACGTTTGTTACTTAGTACCTCGCAGACCAGATTTTCATTGCTTTTTCATAAGACACAAATACGTGTTGTAGAGAAGTGCTTAGAACATAGGCATGCTTATATCAGGTCAGATCAAGGGTTGAAGCAGCCCTGTATCCCGCCTCCAGTTGAGGTTCTAATTGGATGCCTAGAGAAGAGTCAGAACAAAGCAAGCATGTGATACTTCCCCCAATACTCTCCAGGCCTCCAGCTATTTTCAGTTCAGGGACTTCCTGAGCCAGATGTGGCTCTATATATTTGGTAACCCTCAGAGGATGTATCTTCTGTGAACTTGTCCAGTCTTTACTTGCGCCCACATAAACTTTCAGCTTTCAAAACATCATTTGGCAAGGAGTTTCAAACATCTGCTACCTCTGTGACTAGAGAACCTTTCTCTCGATTTGAATTTTGCTTCTACAAGATTCATTTAATGTCTCCTAACACTTGTGTTGGACAAGATGATTTTGTAGCTTTCTATCATATGCTCGCTTCCTGGTGTCTTTTCCATACTCAGAGGGTTGTAGCTTCCTTGTATGAAAACTGTTCCACACCTTTGATCGTTCTTGTTGCATTTCTGTGAACCTTTGTGTTTGGCCCTTCCTAACAAGTCCACAAAGTGTGTAGAGAGGGATTTTCTTTTGCAAAAGCTCTGTTGATATTTCCCAATTCTGATCTTCATTCTTGCCTGTACTGATTTATCCAGAGCAGTCATTGGTCCTTTATTGTCTAAATTACTGTACTCCGATTCTCACCCGTGGAGGCAGCTCCACGTTAGATGTTGTGTACCGTTACTAGTAATTCAGCTATTTTGTTCTTGAATTTGTTTAGACCTCTGCCGTGATACTGTGTGGTCTCAGGCATTTCTCAGCATTCATTTTTCAGTTTGTTCTATGAATAGTCCCATCAGATTCAGCTATTTTCACTGAGTCTGTTACAAAGGAGGACTCCAGCCTGGGAACCTCCCAAGATTTTTGCACAGTAGTGCAAAAAATTTGTTAAGCTTCTCATTGATGGCCCTGTTTTCTCTGAACCTCTTTTTATACCTTGATCGTCACCACTTGGCACTTGAGACTTTCTGGCAGACCTCCTTCTCCTGATGTATTTGAAGAAATGATTCATTACTCACTTGATTCTAACTGTTCCTCCAGTTCTTTCTGGCCTGTCTTATATTGCATTTGAAGTGCCAGAGTTTACAGTCTTTTCTATTTTCTTCATTTGGGCTTGGTGTCGGCTTCTTAAATGATGCCTTTTTGCTTCTAGAAGACAGTGATGAGCCATGCTGATGTCCCTTTGCTCTTCTCAAGTCTTTCTTAATAGGTTCTGTGCTTTCCATGTTGTTGTTCTTAAACAGCTTTGATGCTGCTGGTCAGATTTTACTTCTTGTGGCTGGCTGTTAGAGCTTCATTTTAAAACTCTTTCTCCTTTCTATGTAGTTACGCCTTTTGAATTTAAGCACAGCAGAAGTGGATTCCTTGGTTTTCATTGTTCCTCTAGGGATACTCAATTTAACTGTGTTATGGTCACTGATGTGAAGTGTTTCTGCAGCTGTAGGACATAGAAACAGATGATTCCTGCTGCTCGGGTCTGAGCCAATGGCAGTGGCTCCTCGTGCAGCCTCTCTAACCAGCAACTCCATGAAACCACCTTTCGCAGTTATCTGATACTTCCGTCTCTGCTTCGTAGCCTACTTGCTCAGTCTGCATGAGAGGAGTTGAAATTCCCCTCTATACAATCTTGTGCAGTGCCTTTGCTGAACTCTCTCACTGTGCTGCTGTGAGCCTTGTTGTAGTTGGGCTGTGCCTGGTGATCCCAGCACTCACTCTTCCTGATCCCACCAAGCTCCAGACCTCTGCTGCTTTGTGACATAGAGTTTAGAAATCAAAATAAAACTCCATGGAGCATGTAATGTTACTTCATCATCAACTGTTTTCCCCATATATTTGTATATGGGGAATATACATTGCATAATGCAAAATAGTGACCCGGTAATTGTCTCCCTTCTACCAGATTTCCAATACAACTACTGCTCGTACTTTTGTTTCAAACTTGGTGTTCAAGTAATCAGGTTTTTCTTCTACTCCCTTTGGCGTAGGGGCAGTGTATTGTTAGATTTTTGTCTCGCCACGCTGTTTACTCTGCCCTCATCTGTGCGTCCCTTTTCATTCTTTGATTCTTCTCGGCATCTGCACTTGATGACCCAGAATCTCTGTGTCTTCATTTGTCATAGCAGTGCCCCATGCTCTTGAACCATGTGTTCTCCTAATTGCTTTTTTCCAGTGTAAAATTTTTTCTTGATCCTTAAGTATTAGCAACCTGGCGTCTCTGTTCAGATGAGCTCCAGCCCTCCTGTACAAGTGTCTTTATTCTAGAAATGCTCCGATTCCTGTTGAATCTCATCTCTTGCTTTGTCACCATCCTGACATCTGGGCATTCAAATTCTCCCATATTTTGCTATCAGGATACCTTTCCTTTTCCTCCTCGTGTTACTGGGACCCAGATGGACCGCAATGTAGGTTTCTCCTCAGTGTTTCCTAGGAACCAGTATAGGCTCTGTGACCTTTGCTGCTGATGGGCAAATCACCATGTGGTCTTCTGTCAGATCTCAGACTCCAGCTGTCTGTCTGCCTGATAATATTCCAACACGCCCTTTTTAGTTTGCATTATAACTGCCTCATTTATGCATCAGCAGGGAGAGGGATTTTGTCAAAAAGGGTTGCCTTGGTCACAGAAATGTGGAACTGCTTGTGAAATGATGGTGAAGGAAATGGAAGTGCAAGCAAAGAGAGCAAGTGCGGGAGTGGGGTTACAGTGCTGACCTTAGGAGTTAGCACAAAGTAGGGTGACCAACTTTTGGCAGAGGCAAGAGGAGCAGATCAAGTTGTGATGTTTAACTTTGTATTATTAGTATCATCTAGCAAATATTGCTGTATTGTTGAAAGAATGTAGTAAACTAACTTTAGGTAGAACAGGTATGTGTTTACATGTTGAGTAAACAGATTTATTGGTGTATCAGAAACTCCGTGGGAACAGTTCAGAGATGAAAGCATTTTGATGTGCTCAGGTGTCCGAGATGTTTGCTTAGGGCAGGGGTGTGCAGGACCAGAGGGAGGTCCCTTCTAGGAGGGAGTACACCTGTGTCACATCCGTCACTCATCTGCAGTGGTGCTAAATACCAGTGTTTGGGTATTCCCCACGTAAAAGTGGGGAAATATAGATGCACTATCAGGAGCTTGTTGCAAGTGTGCTCTTTCAAATATCCCAAGAAAATGTCAGTGTCTATTGATACAAGGCTTTACAAACTAAACTGATGGAGAAAATTCATCTGACATTGTAATTGATTTGCTTTTGGTTATGACTTAAGTTCTCGGGGAGGGGGGGTGTGAAGTCTCAGTGCATGGTACATGTGCCAATTTGTCTGTTAGTAGGACCTGTATAGCAGGTTGTTTTATGTCATACTGATGGGATTTTTATTCGTACTTTTTATTAAATATGTATCTTAGTAGAGGGGAGGAGACACAAAGAGATTGAAGTTGGCATAAAGAAAAACCTGACAAACCCCAAAGTTTTTTTGTATAAGGCTTAAACACGCAAATGCTAGAAACCTGAGGGTTACGGGCAAAATATTGCACAAAAATTAGTACTTTTTTCCCTTAAGAAAAAAGAAACACATTTCTCTTTCAATTTCTATTTTAGAGTTTTGCCTTTTTTCCACAATGCTACTTTGGGGTTAGCGTATCAGAATGATTCCTCGGACAATTTGCCTCAGTTGTGTACCCATGGGAGAGCAAACATTTAAAATAACTAGTCTGTATTTGAAGGCTGGGCATTGTGGAATCGTGATGTTCAGAAGCATGGACTTTTTCTTAGAAGCTCTTCCTGAAAAGAGAAACTATACAGAGCACTCAGGTTTACTCCTCCTGCTCACGCAAGAGGGTCTAAGGGCTTGCATGATCTGCTGAGCAGAAGAGCAGGCCCCTTGGGGCTGGTGTATGGCGGAGGGTGTCTCTTCTGGTCAGGTTGTCATACAGATGTGACGTAGCTTGATTTCATGTCTTCCTTCCTCAACTCACCCTTCGCTTTGCTTGGCTCTCCCTACAGATCCCGCCTCAGTACGGTCAGCAAGGTGTAAGTGGCTACTGCCAGCAGGGCCAGCAGCCCTACTACAACCAGCAGCCGCAGCCTCAGCATCTGCCACCCCAGGCCCAGTACCTGTCCCAGGCCCAGCAGCGGTACCAGGCTCAGCAGGTAAGCACCATCTCTCCTCTGCTATCGACAGTCGCCCTGAGGCTGGAAGCATAAAAGAGTTGTGTGAAATGAACAAAACCCACTCAAAACCTTTTTGAGAGAACAGTGTTAAAAGTAAAATTAAGTAAACATGAAATCGAAAACATCCTTCTGAAAAGTCTTCCGGGTTATACCCACAAACACATCTGCACATACTTTCAGGCTTTTTATCAGCTTTTTTGAATAAAGCCAGTGCATATACCCTAGTCAACTATTAATTTTGCTTTTAAAAAGGAGTAACAGTTTCTTGATCAGATGTCAGTGGACGCTAGAGGTTTTCCTTGCTTTTGTTTCATCTTGTTTTCCTCACGCAAGACAGACGTTGTTGAGAGCTCCTGCATCTTACATGGTCACTGCTGCTTTGTTTTTTGTGTTATGTCATTCAAGGATAGATGAGTTAAAGGCATTTTGAGTTCAAGGGAGCTTCTTAAGAGATATTTCTAATTGATATTACAGCTACTAATTCGTATGCTGTCAGTTTGTAGGTCCAGCTAGTGAAACTGCCTGACTCGAAATCCATTGCTGTTCTTGAATTGTGCTTTCTGTGTTAGCCATTAAAATTAGACATTAAAATTAAAGTGATTCTGTTTTTAATGGAGATCAGAAGTGATAGTGTTTGGGTCTGCTGCCCAGAGCTTGAGAAACACCCAGATTTTAGGCACTGAACAAAATGGATGTGCATAGCTGATGCAGCTGAATGTGTAGGCTCAGTTCTATCTGCAGTCTCAGCTCTGTTAATCACAGAGAGGTGATCTGGAAATGGAAGGATGAAACTAAAGCATACTCACCATCCTGGGAAATCTAACAAAACCGAGTTGCTCAAGACTGGGTATTAGTGGAAGCATCAGCACTTTCTGCAAATCACTGGGGAATTCTGTTAGGCATAGTTGATTAACATTTTGGGAGAATGCTGGTGCAATGTAGAAATCTTAGCTTGCAATAAAAACAGTGTGTAAAATAAACTAACAAGAGATGCTGTAAGTAGCAGTGATACAGGAGGCTCCCCTCCTTTGATTTTAAAATAAAGCTATGATAATTTCACTGTGTAATTACATGTTAATTTTTCTTCATCTACATTTTAAAATTCCATTGAGAATTAACTTTTTTCATTAAAATGCTGGATGGTTTATGAAATAGAATTCTTAATTGTATCTATGATATTCTTGTAAATGTCACCGCTTTCCATCTCTTGGATTATATGTAACTGCGACTTTAAAGATGGCAGTTGTGTCTTTAATTTTCTTCCTTTTTACTTTGGCATTAAATGCTTGATTTCTCTATGATTTGAAAATACTGTTCATAAGCATCTTGGTGAAATCTTAACAGCTACAGTCCCAGTAATATGACCCACGAGGCAGAAGCAGTGCAGCTGCTCCAAAGTCTACGTATCACAGTATGTGAAATTGAAATGCTTTTTTTGCATTGGACACCTCATCTTGTTTTAAATATTATCAGTTGAATGATTCAGTGTTTGAGTTTAAAAAAATATACGAAACATACCAACTATGCAGGACACATAAGAAGATACTTGTTTATCTGTTCATACATGTTCTGATTACGTTGTTTGCTGTCATAGCCAGTAAAGTGAAAATTTGTGCAGTGAAGCGAAGGGTGTTACAGAAGAGAATAAAGGCAAAATGAGAGTAAAGTATATTGTGGACTTCAGAGAATTGGGATGAAGAGAAAGGCAGGGACAGATTCACAAATAGAAGAAATCAGGATCCATGTAGCCAAATACCTTCTTTGAAGATTTGGGGTATATTGAAGGAGTGTCTAAATCCAGACTCTAAGGGTGATACACAGATCTCAAGGTCAGTAGGTATTTTTGCCTGAATTTGCAAATTCGGATGATTCATTAGGCCCTCACCAACACAACCTTGCAGTGGCAATTCTTAGTGTGGGAATCATGCCTGAATTTCTTCATGGTTTGTGAAGGACCGGTTGGTTATCCTGTTCTTCAGTAGTGTTCAGCGTCTTAAATTTTGAACTCTACCCCAGCTTCTGAATTATACAAGATTTTCCTGGGGTATTTGTGTGTAGATGGGATTATATAATATAAATAATAAGTAGTCCATAACACCTTGGGGCTTGTTCCTTTTCTTTTCCCCATCTCCAGATTGGTTCCATGGCTGCTCTTCCTCCTGTCTCAAGAAGGGTCATCAGGTGAACGTATCTCCTTGTGTTTCTCTCTAAAGCCTCACCACCATGTTCTTCCCATTTGTTGGGAGCTGCTAATCTGGAAGACAAATTCGTAACACAAGAAGTTGGAGTCTATACTCTTGACACTTCAGGAACAGTGTTCTTTCTTTGCTGCTGATGCATAGTAGAGTCAATTGGCAAACAGTGTACACAATAGAAAAATTAATACTAGGGTAAGAAGAAGGTTGGGAGTATATGTTAAAATTTGTGCTGCAACAAGAATTTTAAAAGCTGCTTGCTTAAGCAGACGTGTTTCTGCTTATATGAAATTGATTTCTGTCTTGAAAATTTAAGAATTAGATTTTACTTGATTAAAATTTTAGCAAGAGAAATAGGAGTAGGCATTTGTATAGTTTTAGGAGCTTTAAGAGTTCAGAGTTCACTGAATTTGATATATTGGGCCGCCTTGCAAAGAGAAAGCCCTAGGGAGATCCTGCTGCTGTTTACAGCTACTCAAGGGAGGATGTGGGAGAGAACAGAGCTAAGCTTGTCCCAGAGGTGCGTGTTGGAAGGTCAAGAGGTAGTGGGGACAGACTGGGACAAGGAAAGTTGCCACCTGAGAAAATAAAAAAAACCAATGCAGTTACCATGAGGGGTTTCAAATTCTGGAAGGAGCCTGTGGAGACCATTCTGGTCTCCATCCTTGGGGATCATCTCCATCCTTGGAGGTGCTCAAAATTCAACTAGCCAAGGCTCCCAAGCACCCTGTTCGTGCTAGACTTGCTTTGAACTGGAGATTTGACTACATGACCACTCTTGGAAGGTCTCTTCTAACCTATGTGATTCTGTGTTGCTGTGATTTAATATTCGCTTTACATATTCTGAATAGTTTTAAAATCAACCACAAAGTAATATAGTACCTGTTGTACCAGTGGGTGTATCATTCTTATTTCTACTCTTAAAAATGTCAGTACATCCTGTTCATATAATCCTGTCAATTAAAAAAAACTGAGATAGTCTCAGTCATACCATCCATTGTCCTTTCTGCCTGTCATCCTTAGTTTTCTCTTTCCAACTTGTAAATGTTTTCTATATTCTTCAATAACCATTTTCTTGTCTTTTTATTTTGATTTTGTTGCTTTTTGCACTCAGCATTGGTGCATAGTACTAATTCTGAATAGTCACAGCTTCGAAGAATGTATAAAGTCAGTTGTTTCAGGATGTCAGCCTCAAGAGGAGAAGCTGGCCTCTGAAGATTTTTTTGCCTCGTGCTGGCTAGCCAGAATTATGGGGGAACTTTAGACTACAAGTGTTTTTCGTGTTGAACATGGTTGGATCAAGAAGCAAGAGAAGATCACTCTAATATTGAAGTAAATATTGAATAATACTAAATATTGAATAAATATTGAAGTAGTTCGTGGTAGCCCCATCCATGGATCAGGACATTATTCTGATTGTTCTCCAAATACAAAACAAAAAGATGGTCTTTGCCCCAAAGAACCTGCAGGCTGTTCTGTGCCTTATAGACTGGAAGGTGAACTTGCTTTTTGTAGCAGGGGTGCAGCTGTGAGATGTACAAGTTTTGTGTTGTGTTTTAGGATGAATAAGCTGTCCCTGTGGTTGCTGCCTTTGTGATGTGAGTGTGATTGATCTGGTTTTACTTCAGGACGGAGAAGAGAGATGCCAGATTGGAGAAAGGGGGCTTCTCAGTGATTTGCCTTCTTTTCCCTACTGTATTTTCTTTATTTCCCATGTAGATTAATGTCAGTCTACATGTTCTGGAGATTATCAAGGAGAAAGTAGTGTTTATTCTGCATGGATGATGGACTTCTTGCTACTGGTTTCCTTTTACATGAAATCCTATAGTGTGATGGACTGGATATTCTATTATGGAGAGAAATCTGATGTGGAATTTCAGATAGATAATGTTTTATTTTTGCTCTTTTTGACGTAATGTGGGTGAGCTTCTGTAGTCAGGTATAACTCCTAGTGTTGTGCCTTCATTTCTCACGCATTGTAAAAGTGTGAAGCCATTGCTCCTTTTCCTTGACTCACTTGCAATCTTGTCAATAAAAGTAATCAGATAAAATAATTTCTGGGACTGTTCCAGTGACTTATAACTTTCCGTTCTTCTAATAAATATAGAGGGAAAGGAGGAGAATGGGATTTATTTGAATGTTAGAGCTTAAGTTGTTTAGATTTTTTGTTAAATTGGTTGCATGGTGGGCAGAAAGGGAGTTTCATAAGTGGTGATTTGATAGTAATGCTGGCATAGTTTATTACAGAGCCATATTGTAAGCTAGCATCAGTCATCCCCTCTTCATACCAGGAGCCTGCTGTGTGAAAACCATTAAAGGAAGAGCTTTGTTTTAAGCAAAATTATTGCAGTAGCAGATTCATTGATCATTAGATATTACCAGTAGATGTAGATACTATCTTTTTAAAAAAATCCAACAAAACAACACCCCACATCTTTTTACTTTTACTGCTCTTTAAAAGGAAAAAAAAAAGAGAGAAAGAAAGATGTGCCACGCTACTACAGTGTTGCCCTTGGCACGATTTTTCGTCTTGAAATGGCATATAAATGAATAAATGCTTCAGTTGTTTTTGCAGTTTTAAATCTTTTGCCATAAGTAGAAGTGATATTTTGCTCAAGAATGTCATGTAATTGCAAACTTAAACTGTCATCATTAAACATTATTTTGTTAAGATAGCATGATATATATTTTGGGTTATTATGCTTTCCAACTGGCTTTTAAACAGCCATGTTTATGTATTTTCTTGTTTTATGTAGCATGTGTTCATATGTATTGAGATTAGGA